TATAATGTTTTTAAGGGGCAGTGCAACACTGCCGTAAAAGTTGAGATGTGATTTGAATAATGTAACCAACTATAAAAAAGTAAAGAATATTTTTGATTATTCTGTAATGATCAGAACTTTAAAGAAGTAATCAGGATACACTTATTACATCATGGAAATAATTCCTAATTCGGATTAATTTAAATTTTTTTTGACATAAGTTATCAACTCTAAATTTGCAAATAACCCAATGAGCAACAACTTGTACAATATTGATTTTTAGTTCGGATGTTTTTTTTTACAAATTTACGGATATGAACAAGAAAATCGAATAGAAGACCGGATGAACTTCTATTTGAGGAACATTTCACTCCTATCTCATTCAATGCCTTAGAATTGTAGAATTAAAAACTTAATTTTCAATATTTTAAGAAATTGTTGAAAAACAAAAGCTGAAATAAAAAGATAGAAAATCGAACAAAAGACAGAATGAGCTTATTTCACGTACATCTCATTCCTAGCCCATTCAATGCCTTAGAATTTTTAAATATTTTAAATAAATTTAAAATTCATACAATTTAGGAACTTATTCTGAAACATTATTCATTTTACTCAATGGAAGCTGAAACTTTTGTCAGCAACAAAGATTCTTTCATTTGGAATATAATTTTTTTCATTTTTTCGTAAATCTTCATAACTGTTTTTGACATCAATGTGTACTAAATGCAAAAACTGAATACATGGAAAATTTTGTTGGTTGTCGAACTGACACCACCTTGTGTGAATTCGCCTTAATACATGTGTTTACAAAAATTGTAAACATTGTGACCGCTTGAAATTTTGTTAATTTAATTTTTATTTTATTTAAATAAAAATAAAATTAAAATTGAATTTTTAAAATAAGATTAACCTGTTAAAAACAAATTTAATAAAACCATAAATATAAAAAAGAAAAAATGCAGACTATACGAGAATTTACGCGCAAAACAAAAAGGGGCAACATTTTAAAAGTGAGTGATAATAAAAATTAAAAAAATAATTATAATTAATAAATTTATTATATTTCAAAACAAAATTAGATTGTGCGGGAACATTATTTGCGTATAGATTTGGGTTGTGGCTCTGATTTGTGTAATGCCTGTCAACAGGAGGAAGCCGGTGTACAATTACGCTCTGATCGTATGGTCCGCTCTACTTTGTTCAATTTCCCCCATTATTTGGTTTTGGATACCAATGTAGTACTACAACAAATGGATGCTTTAGAGGAGGATGCTATAAAAAATGTTATAGTATTATCTACGGTTTTAAATGAAGTGAAACATCGTAGCACCACTGTCTACAAAAGATTCCATGAAGTTGTACAGCATAAGCCACGTGGTTTCTTTGTGTTTGTCAATGAACACCACAAGTAAGGAAGGACGCACATGAATTTGTAATCATTTAATATATTTTTATTCAATTTTCTAGAGATACTTACGTAGAACGTCAGCCAGGTGAATCGGCCAATGATCGTAACGATCGCGCCATACGTTTTGCCACCAATTGGTATGATTCTCACATCTTGGAGGCCCAAGAGAAGAAATCATTTAAGAAGAATGCCCCAAAGGGAGATAAAACTCGTGTAGTTTTAATAACAGACGATGCTGCCAATAAGGAAAAGGCTGAAAAGGAAGGTATTCTAGTGGCTACTGCAGAGGAATATATTAAATCTTTGGTGGATTATCCCATGTTGGTTGATAAATTGGCTCGTAAGAGTTTTGAAAATGAAAAGGAATCACTGCCTTTGTTCCCCGTTCACCTTAGTCCATCGGAAATCCTGGAGGGCATAAGGAATAATCGTCTCCTGCAGGGTTCTTTCCAGGCATCAAGGGAAAATTTCCTTGAGGGTGCCGTAAGAGTGGAGAGTTATGAAAATCCGGTTAGTTTAAAATAATTTTAAAAGAAACGAATCAAATAATTTTTAATATAATAATTTACCTCTGCTATAGATTTTAATACAAGGACGCGAGGCTCTAAATCGTGCTGTTGATGGTGATCTTGTGGCCATAGAACTGTTGCCCGAATCCGAATGGTCAGCTCCTAGTGAAATTGTACTAGAGGAATCTGAAGTAGTAGATGCTGGCGATGAGCCGGGAACAACACCGGAAGAAATTCTAGCTGCTGCTGCATTGGAAGCCTCAACAACGGCCCAAAAGACTCCTACAGCCAAAGTTGTGGGTATTATTAGACGCAAACGACGACAATACTGTGGTATTCTACAACCCAGTCATATGCTTAATGCAACAAGACACATATTTGTGCCAGCCGATCGTAAAGCTCCTCGCATACGTATCGAAACCAGGCAAGCAGAAAAATTACAAAATCAAAGAATCATTGTGGCCATAGATACATGGCCAAGATCGTCGCGCTATCCTCATGGTCACTTTGTTAGATCGTTGGGTCCTCTGGGAGATGTAGAAACCGAAAATGAGGTTATTTTGCTGGAACATGATGTGCCGCATAGTAAATTTTCGGAAGAAGTTTTAAGTTTCCTGCCACAGATGCCTTGGGAAATTACCAAAGAGGTAAGGAATATTTTAAAATAACTATAAATAAATTCGTTGATAAATTTTTTCTCAAAACAGGATTACGAAAAACGTGTGGATCTAAGAGATTTATATATATGCTCTGTTGATCCTCCAGGCTGTACAGATATTGATGACGCTTTGCATTGTCGTGATTTGCCCAATGGCAACTTGGAAGTTGGTGTCCATATAGCCGATGTTAGTCATTTCATACGTCCCGGCAATGCTTTGGACAAGGAGGCTGCCTCTCGTGGTACTACCGTCTATTTGGTGGGTAAACGTATTGATATGGTGCCTGAATTGTTAAGTTCGAATTTGTGTTCTTTGGTGGGTGGCCAAGAGCGTTTTGCTTTCTCTTGTATATGGGAAATGGATCATAAGGCAAATATTATAAATAAACGTTTCCATAAGAGTATTATCAAATCAAAATCGGCCATGACTTATGAAATGGCTCAAATTATTATTGATGATGCTACGCAAAATAATGAAATTGCCAAATCTTTGCGTAATTTGAATCGTTTGGCGAAGATTCTCAAGAAAAGACGTATGGATAATGGGTAAGTGTAATGTTTAGAAACCTTTCTTTTTTTAATAAATCTTTCTGCGAAGAAAATTTTGTTAAAAAGTTAAGGTTTAAAATTTTTTTACTTAAAATATAAAATTGATGATTGATTTAATCTAGTGTTGACTGATAGATATACTCTTTCTGTAGAGTTAACTTAAAGTTACTAAATTCTTATAAAAAAATTGTTAAAAAATATAAAATACTTTCCTATTTTAGTGCCCTAGTTTTAGCCTCACCAGAAATTCGATTCCAAGTCGATAGTGAGACACATGAGCCTTTGGAAGTAGAAGCCAAACAATTGCGTGATACCAACTCAATGGTAGAAGAATTCATGTTGTTGGCCAACATAACAGTGGCCGAACATATAGCAAACGAATTCCCCGAATGTGCCATGTTGAGAAGACATCCCAAACCTCCCACCAGCAACTTTGATCCACTTATTAAAGCAGCACAAAATCAAGGTTTTGAAATTAAAACGGAAACTGGTTTAGAATTGGCCAAATCTTTGGATGAATGCGTTAAACCAGACAATCCTTATTTCAATACTATGATACGTATTCTCGCCACTAGATGTATGATGCAGGCTTTGTATTTCATAAGTGGTACATTGCAGAAGGATCAATTTGCTCATTATGGTTTAGCGGCTGACATTTATACACATTTTACCTCGCCCATTAGAAGGTAGGAATTTATATTATTAAGCAATTAAAATATTTTTAATTTCAATTGGTTTTTGTCGTTTTTATAGATATTCAGATATTATAGTACATCGTTTATTGGCGGCTTCCATAGGTGCCGATAGCACATATGCCCAATTGTTGGATAAGAAATCCAATGAAGAACTTTGTCAAAACTTAAATTATCGCAACAAAATGGCTCAATATGCTGGTCGTGCTTCGGTGGGTCTTAATACCCATCTATTTTTCCGTGGCAAAGTTCAACACGAAGAAGGGTATGGTTCTATTAATTTCCATTAAACGCGCTGGTTTTAATAAAAACACTTTGGTTTTTTTCTTTTAGTTACATATTATTTGTGCGCAAAAATGCTTTGCAGGTGCTTATACCCAAATTCGGTTTAGAGGGCACGGTTTATTTAAATTCTTTAAAAGACGATGCAAAAAAACTACCCGGAAATGTTACATTTACATTTAATGAAGAGGTAAACTATTTAAATACTATACCCTAATATCAATTGCCAAAAAATAATCATTTAATTCTATACTTTCTACAGGACTATACACAACGTTGCGGTAATGTAATATTCCATGCCTTTGATCCCGTCACAGTACGTTTAAGCTTGGATTCCACAAATGTTCAGCATGAAAAACTGGTCTTCGAATTGGTTAAACCTTATATTAAAGGCTTTAGTGTAGAGCCTGAAGAAACCGGTGAAGCAGTGAAGGAAAATAATGACGTAGAGATGTCAACGGCTCCTCCACAAAAGAAAAGCAAAAAATCAAAACAAAATAAAAATAAATAAAATAAAATATTCTTAAATGAATGTTTTTTATTCAAATATATAGTACTAAGCTAAAACTGGACTAAACAATTTGTAGTAGAAATAATAAATCACAGATTCGTATATGCCACGAATAAATACATTTGTTTCATTAACATCATACGACATTAACATCATCAACAACAATTACAAATTGTAAAAAGCCTTTGGTCACACAATTTTTAAAGTCAATGTTTTGTTAGCTTCTTAAATTTCATTTATAAACGATTCCCTATCGTTGTTTCGATAGGGAAATTAATAACAAAAAAATATATATCAGAATAAAGGAATGATTGAAGCAAAGAAATGTTAATGTTTGTATAATTAAGTTTACAATTAAAACAAGCAAGCAGCGTATTTGCATATTAATTTGCAATTTTTTTTTAATTTCTACATTACTTTTAGCTAATAACCCCAAGACTTCAGTTAGCTGCTTTAGGTTCCATAGAACGGGCGTGATTTAGACATACAACGGATTTTTAAATTTTTTTGTTAAAGAAAAGTGAAAATTTTATTAAACTATTTTAAGGACTAATTTTATAAGAAAAATATTATTAAACACTATGGATGGAAATGCAGAATACTATGGTGATGGTAAGTTAACTACGACAATAACGAAATATACAGATAAATTACATTACAACTAAATTTAGAGAAAAGTGGTAAAATAAACTGTAAATATAATTTTTTATATTTAAACCAAATAAAACATTTTCTTTTTTTCTTACCTTTCAATTTTAAATAAAAAAAATCTACTACAAAAGTTATAAAAAAAGAGTTGCGCATAATGGAACAAATATCCAAGACTAGATTTGATAAAATTAAAAATTTCATTAAAAAATTCGAAATTTCTTTAAAAATTTACAATTTTACTAAAAAAAATAAATTTTTACTAAAAAAAACAAAATTTTAAAACAATTTCAAAAACTTAAAATCGAAAATTCCATTAAAAATTTGAAATTGTTTTAAAAGTTTGAAATTTTACTAAAAATTCAATACTTAATTACAATTTGAAAATATCCTTTAAAATTTGAATACGAAATTGAAATTTGCTTACAAATTTAAAATTTCACAAAATTCAAAATTTTATACAATTTCAAAAACTTTTAAAAAAAAAAAAATAATTTTCATGTTAAATTGAAATTTTTTACTAAAAATCCAAAATATTAAAAATATTTTTAAAATTTTTAAATTTCACTAAAAATTCATAATTTTAATACACGACATAATTTAATTTAAAAATCCAAAATTTTACTAGATTAGGTAAGGTTGATAGGAGGAAGGGGCTTGATATGCGCTCATTTTCAAAACAAAAACTTTATATAGTGATTCATGACGATATTATCGACCTGGTCATAATTCCTAAGAATTTTCCAAGTAGTGTTCGTGAGGGATGTTATATCCGAATATTATCACTCCCAAAATATTTGGATCTAATTTCGACCAAAGCCTGGCAATGCCAAAGAAAGTGTTCCAGAATTTCAATGTCCTCTCCACAAGATCTACATTAATTTATCCTGTGTGTCCAACTCAAAATACATACCATCATACTTACCTCAGACTTGCTCATTTTGAAGATGCTTCTCGTCCAGTTCTTATTAGGGTCGCCCCATAGGATTCTTGTGGTTGTACCCACCCGCCCTCGTTACGTCGAATGGTTTTGAGTTCCCTTGCAAATAAAGCAAGTAAATAGGTTCTTTCGTTGCCGACTACTCGCGAGTGGCCTGGTACACACATGAGTTAAAATTTAACTCTGTGAGAGTATTTGGATAAAATTTCTTACAATCCAATACGGTCTTAGATTTAACCTTATTACCTGATATCGTCCTAATTTTCTTCTGGCTGTTGGTAAATATGTTAACCCCTGTTGGCGCCATATTTATTGTAATAAAATGTACGCATTCCGATATTGGTCGGACTTCTACCAAAAATTTAATATTTTATCCGGTTGTTTAAGGATAAATTCAATTCATGTTTTACTCGATTAACCGAATACTTTTACTACTATAAACCGGCTAAGCCAAAACCTTAAATAATTATTTGTCGAATAAACTGAATTAAAACCAAACCCTTAATAAATGAGTATCCTAGTGTTTACCATCAGCTCTTGTTTTTTTAAACATTTGACCTTTGACCCTGCAGGTTTTTATATTATGAATTCGTTATATTAAAATTTATACTGAAGTAAAAATATTGACCTAATTATTTACTAACTCTTTTCAATGAATAAATTTGTAAAATCATAAATCTGTGTCGAAACTATGAGAGTGATAATTCGTTTTTCGTCGTTTAACTTCGTGTAATTTAATAAAAAATATTTCATAAATCATTTTCTTAATCCAAATAAAATCTTATTTCAGTTACTGACGACTTACCCGATGATGTACACGATCCCATTTATTTGGATAGCTATAGAAGATCTATACATCAACCCACAGACTTTTGGGATAAATTGGGACATTTGTTAGACTGGATGCGACCATGGGATCGTGTATTAGATAATTCTAATCCTCCTTTTACGAAATGGTATGTTGGAGGTTATCTTAACGCCTGCTACAACGCCGTTGATCGTCATGTTAAACAAGGGAAAGGCAGTAAAGTAGCTATCATACATGATAGTCCTTTGACTAATACTGTACGACATGTAACCTATCAGGAATTATATGATGAGGTAGGAGTTACTGTAACTTTTTCTTAAGCTTGAGTTTATATCGTATCCATATTTATAGATTACCAAACTAGCCGGTGGAATGGCTAATTTGGGCGTAAAAAGAGGAGACAAAGTTGTCATCTATATGCCTCGTATACCTGAAACCATAATGGCTATGCTGGCTACTGTACGTTTGGGTGCAGTGCATTCTGTGGTATTTGGTGGTTTTGCTGCCAATGAATTGTGTGCTCGCATAGAACATGCTGAACCTAAACTTGTTATTGCTGCCAATTGTGGCGTGGAACCGGGAAAGATTATTTCGTATATAGATATTTTACACAACGCAATCAACATGTCTAAATGGAAGCCAGATTGCAATATTATTTTCCAACGCACTAATGTTTTGCAATCGACTTTAAATACTAAAACCGATATTGATTGGATGACTGTACAAAATTTAGGCGAACCCGTAGATTGTGTACCAGTAGAGGCTAATGATCCTCTTTATATACTTTATACATCGGGCACCACAGATAAACCCAAAGGAGTACAAAGACCTACAGGTGGTCATTTGGTGACATTGATGTATACCATGAAAGCTTTCTATGGCTTGAATACCGATGATGTTTGGTGGGGAGCCTCAGATTTTGGTTGGGTAGTAGGACATTCTTATATATGTTATGGTCCTTTATTATACGGAGCCACCACTGTTTTATATGAAGGAAAACCTGATAGAACACCAGATCCTGGACAGTATTTTCGGTAGGTTAAAAGAAAATTAAAAATGTTCCTACCTAATAATTGTCCACTTTCATGTTTTCCAGCATTATTGATCAGCACAAAGTTGCTTCACTATTTTCAGTACCCACCGCTTTTCGCGTCTTACGTCGTGTAGATCCCGAATCCAAATTTGGTCGCAAATACTCTTTAAAATCTTTACGTTCCATTTTTATAGCCGGCGAACATTGCGATTTGGAAACGATGAATTGGATTGAGAATACCTTTAAAGTACCGGTTTTAAATAATTGGTGGCAAACAGAGACTGGATCTCCTGTAACAGGCACATGTTTAGGATTTAGACACAATTTAAATGTGCCACAATTTACAACTGGTTTACCTTTTATAGGATACAATAGTAAGTTTATAAACATATTTTTGGAAATATATTTTAAGGTTTTGTAATTATTAAATTTTAGTTAAAGTTGTACAACCTGATGGTAGCGAATGCGAGGCAAATAAATTAGGTAGAATTGTTTTTAAATTACCATTGCCACCTGGCAATATGTCCACTTTGTATGGAAATGATGAACTTTTTAAGAAATTATATTTCACTAAATTTCCGGTAAGTAGGCCATTTATTAAAATGTATAAATTATTCCTATATACATTAACCTTTCTATACCCGCAACAAAAAACTGAAACACTTATACCAACGTCGGTCTATATTTTAACTGAAATTTATTAAAACCATTTCGTGGATATAAAGATTATTGTGTATAACTGGTCTCGCCCTTGCTCGGGTATAGGAAGGTTAAGCATAACGCTCTAATTGCAAACAATTTCAAAACATACCATACTATATACATATTTCTATTATACCTTTCAGGGTTACTATGACACCATGGATGCCGGTTACAAAGATGAGAACGGCTATATATTCGTTACAGCCAGAGCAGATGATATAATTAACGTTGCGGGTCATCGTATTTCTACTCAATCTCTTGAAGACGCCGTCCTCCGTCACCCCGATGTTGTGGATGCAGCCGTATTTGGTGTACCCGAATCCACTAAGGGTCAAGTGCCACTTTGTCTATATATTCCACGAGATAATTGCTTAAAAACTAGTGCCAAATTATCGGCAGAAATTGTACAGAAAATACGAGATGTTGTTGGTCCCATAGCTTCATTTCGTTTAGTAGCACCTGTTAAAGCATTACCACGCACCCGTTCTGGCAAAACCATGCGTAAAGTTTTGGCAGATTTTGCTAAAAATGAATTAGTAGTTTTACCCGCAACTATAGAAGATCCCACTGTATTTGGCGATATACGTAGAGCTCTACAATGTTTGGGCTATGCCATGAACACCCCTGAGCCCATAATGATCAATCCAAATTAATATTTAATAACATTTTGTGGAATGTTTAATTTTAGTTTGTTATAAAATGTTTAGTTTAACATTATAAAAAAATAATAATAAAATCACATACATACATATACAGTGGAAAACTAAAGAAACCAAGCAAATTCGTGTCAATTTAATTTCTATTTAAGTTCAAAAACAAATCAACTGGAAAATAACAATTTTATGCGAAATTTATTCAAAATATCTGCACATGTACGCTTTCATAATAATAGTTCTATAGACTTTAGCCTACTCCCTAAAGTAAACAAGTTAAGAGTGCTATATTCGGCTGTGCCGAATCTTAAATACTCTCCACCAGCAAGCTATTTTTAATTAAAACCCATTTAGCTATCAAATTTTTACATAACTTGACAAAATTGTTGTTTCCGTATTGATATGCATATGTCAATCAAATTTTAATTAAGTCCAGAAAAATTTATATTAATAGGCCAGTTCGAAAACATTTTAATATAATTATATATCTATACACTGATATAATCATTTAATAACGAATTAAGTGGTGTTAAATGATTTTCAGAAATAATCCTTGTACGGGAGCTAAGACAACTTATGGACCGTTCCGAAAAAAATTCCGTTGAATGATTTATATGCTCACAACACATATTCAAGTCGAATTTTATAGAATTTTATGAAATATATGCGTTTAAGTGATTTTCGGAAGTGGACCTTATATGGGAGCTATGACCAATTATGGGCCTATCCGGAAAAAACTTTCATAGAGTGATTCATATTTAGACAAAAAATATTTGTGTCGAATTTTATAAAGATAGCTTTATTTGACAATGAAATATGTGCTTTTAAGTGATTTTCGGAAGTGGGCCTTATATGGGAGCTATGACCAATAATGGTCCGATCCGTAAAAAATTTAGTAGAATGATTTGTATGTACGCAAAACATATCTGTGTCGATTTTAACACAATAGCTTTATTTATCAATGAAATATGTGCGTTTAGGTGATTTTCGGAAGTGGACCTTATATGGGAGCTATGACCAATTGTGGACCGACTGAGATCTACGTTGATATTATGATTTCTGTTTACATTATATTGGCATGTACAAAATTTTGTGTTGATACCGATATATTTGAGGGAGTTATTAACGATAAACCAATTTCCGGGAATATATACTTTTGTATGGGGGCTATGGGAAATATTGGATCGATTGTAAAGATTTTGAACATAATTAATCACTGCCTTGAAAAAATAATGTGTGACAAAATTCATCGCAATATCTTTGGTAGTTTCTGAGAAAACTTCAAAAGAATTAGGAAAAAACATTTTTTTTCGAGGTAGTCTGAAATTTTTACTCATAAGTTATTACGTTGTGAACCGATTTTGCTGATTTTCAATACCAAACTGCTTAGGATAATAATAAATATTTTAAGTGAATTTGGTTCATTTCCTTTGCTTAGTTTTAACATGAACGTGTTTTAGGCAGACAGACAGACAGACAGACGGACATAGCTAAATCGACTCAGAATTTCATAAGGACCAAGAATATATATACTTTGTTGGGTCTTAAATGAATATTTCTTGGTGTTACACATGGAACGACAAACTTATATATACCCTCTATCACCACTGATGGTGGTGTAGGGTATAAAAAGTCAAATATCTTGCCACACGTACATATAACATTCAAACTATTTAAAAATCAAATAGTAATTTATTTATTTAAATTTTATGCAAATACTATATTGATTGATTGGAACTAGAAAAAAGTAGTTGTACTTTGGAGACTTTTAAAGTTTAGAAACGAAATTTTAAAATGTTTACAAAAAATAAACTTTGGCATTTTAAATCGTTGCACAAATTAAAATTAAAATTTTATATGTATAGATAGTTTAGTTTCAGATTAGCTTTTTTTATTCCGATTTGTAAAGTCAAAACATAAAGATCAAATAATTTCCACTATTTTATAATCACCTAGTTCAGTCACATTCTCTTATATTGGTTAATGACGAATATTCACTTTGTAATGCAGAGCGAATACTTTAGTTATCCAAAATAGTCTAGAACGTGGACACTTAAAATTCGTTTTATTTTATATGTACGTACTTCAGAATAAATAATAAAGTCTTTCATATAGTTTAGTATAGTTTTAGAAAATTTCATCAAATATTTCAATGCGATATCCCTTTTCTTGTTGTAAACGTAAAAACTAAAACTTATGTTTTCACGAATAAAAGACCTCTACTATCTAAAAATCTGCTCTAACTTTTCACATCGCTTGATTTGTTTAAATGTTATATAAAAAATAGTAAAATGTCTTAATACATTTAAAAGTCATCTTTCTCGAAGCGACTTTTTTGGATTATGCCAGTCTTGTAGTAAATGAGCGATATGTACATTAGTGATATAGGTTAGGTTGATAGGAGGATGTAACTACATCAAATCCGAAGAAATACACCTAGGCAACTATCGGGCCTAGTGTGCGCTGCTTTTCATGGAAAATGTTTGTTGGTAAAAACAAAAACCTTATATAGTATTCACTTAATGTATTATTGTCCGATGTTCAGAAACTCAGTTTCCTGGACGCAATTCCTAAGAATTTTCCAATCAGTACACAGAGGCAAAAAATATACACGCCTGGTACCAAATTGACACCAAATGTTTTAATAACATCCGTTGTCAAGTATATACATACATACAACAACAACATGTAATGTAGACCACACAACTTTGTCAACATTGCAACAAATCGTTGTCGCAATCTAAACTTTATGCACATCCGTTGTCTAAATGTTAACAAACGTGATAAGCTCACTATGTACAACGCATTATGAGCTTACCACGTTTGTTAACTTTAAGACAACGGATGTGCATAAAGTTTAGTTAAAAGTTCACGCACCAAATGACTTCTCGTCTGTTTTTTTAATCAGTTTTTGAAGACCCCATATATCTTCTAAGTCCAAATCTTAGATAATTCAATTAGATATGCTTTTAAAACCAGTAAAATCGGTCCATAATACAGTGCACTCGCGGTAACGTGAACTAATTAAAACCAAGGGAGTTCATGTTAGCGAAATTGTTCACGTTAGCGATTGTCAAATTTCATGAAAAAAATGTGAAATTTTAATTTATAAATCTGTATTTTACACACTTGAGCGTGATATTCTTTTATTATTATTTATATTATTATAATATAAAACTAAAATTTTATTAAAATCCATTTTCTTTTAACATTAGACCACTTACAGGCCAATTCCTATCACGCATTCGGAGAAACCAACGGTAAAGAGTTTTTTCATTAACTGGAAGTTCTGATGATTTTAAAGTTTGTCTTTTTCCCGGTCCTTGGTATGTGTTGTTTGCACAACTCAAAATTGCTTCTTTTTATACCCTACACCACTTTAGTGGGGAGGGTATATTGTGTTTGTGCTGATGTTTGTAACGCACAATAATATTGGTCCTATACCCACCTTAAAGTATACCAATCGGCTTAGAATCATTTTCTGAGTCGGTTTAGCTATGTCCGTCCGTCCATGTAAACTTTGTAATCAAACTACAGGCCGCAATTTTGAAGATAATTGAATGAAATTTGGTACATGATCTTCTATTGTCCCAGGGACAAACCCTATTGAAAATGGTTAAGATCGGTCCATTATTTCACCTAGCCCCCATACAACTATACCCCCCAAAAAGGGTTGGAAACATTGTAATCAAACTACAGGTCGAAATTTTGGAGATAATTCAATGAAATTTGGCACATGATCTTTTATGGTACTGTAGACAAAGCCTATTGAAAATGGTTAACATCGGTCCATTATTTCACCTAGGCCCCATAGAATTGAACCCGCCAAATAGGGCTTTTAAGTTCATAATTATGCTTAATATACTCGTATCTCGACAAAAAGCTGCAAAACCAAGTTCTATACTAGTCTTGATGACCCTGATAAAATTTTTAATTATAGGGCCTCATTTGACCCTTAGCCCCTCTAAAAAGCCCCATCAAAATTTTACTTAAATATCCACAGTTTTATTAAACTGTAAACGGCTTCAGTATATCTGAGGCAAGGTACAATTCAACTTAAATGCTTTATTATGAAAACCACATCACATTTTATTCGTATACAGGTGTAGGGTAATATATGGACGGCGTCGCCCGACTATAACTTCTTACTTGTTTCTTTTTAATACTGCATATTGTTGACTTAGCGACATTATACTTTTTTGATAAACTAGTCACACTTGTTCCTCTTTGCAAACTATCTAAAATGTCTGCCTTTTCTTTTAACTGCAAACATTAAGATTTTTTTACACTCATAACTTCAAATTTCTTTGCCATATAAACAAAATAACTTAGGGGATATACATTCATTTATATAAGGAGATTCCCAAAATTTTAAAATTCGAATTTAATGAATGGATTTCAATGTTGTCTACATGCTTAGAAAACATATACATATTGTGAAAAAAATTGTTCACCTTATAGAGCTTTCTGTGTTTGTTCACGTTACAGAGTAGTCAATGTAAAAAACATCTTGTTCACGTTAGGCGGTGTTCACGTTAGGCGGTGTTCACGTTACCGCGAGTGCACTGTAATTGGAAATATGATCGAAATAAAAATGATCAACAAATTATTTTTTATGGACTTTTTGATTAGAAGATGTAAAATAGCATATTCCAGTTAAAATCAAAAAATCCTGTGATGTGACGAGTCGACATGGGAAAAAGTAGACTTTTTCATCTATTGCTTAATTCAAAATTCAGGTTTTTTGAACCGAGTACAAGAAAATCTGTGTAAAATTAAAGCCTTGTTTATTGTAAAAGTTTGGGTATATTGAAAAATAAATATACACGCCTGGTACCAAATTGACAGAAAATTTGTCAATAACATCCGTTGTCAAGTATATACATACGTACGACAACACTATGCAATGATGTTGATTTGGAACCAGGCGAGTATATATTTTTTCCCTCTGTTTATGTTTCTGAAAACCGCACATATGTACATAAATACACATCTTCGGTATCCATATTAAAATATACTATGGTGAAGGGTTTATAATATTCGTCATAGCCGAATTTAGTATTATAACTTATTTATATAAAGAAATTTGTTCGATTATATTAATTCAGAGTACTGTCACAGAATTTTTAAAAAATTTTAATTTACATTCCTATATTAAAGAGATATGACGAGTTCGTTTAAGGGTTTCTAACCAAAAGTAGGTTTCCGGCAAATTTCGAGAATTTTTTTAACGATTTCTTCATAAATTTACAATAATGTGTTGAATAAATTTAGTTTAAAACGGTTTGGGATTCAAACTTTATATACATTGAAAACAAGAAGAAATTTTTGAATTTATGTATTTATTTGTTGCTTTCAGTGAGAAACTAAAAATCGTTTGCATTTAGAGGAACAGTCCCTTATAACAATAGATTATTGGTCAATAATATTTTTACCTTTACTATCCCAACAAAAAAAATTTTGAAGTTGTTAAAGAAGAAGGGATATTTTCATGATTTCTTTAGTAAGTATTCTATTTAATGCGTTTTAAATACATGCCTAAATTCTAATAAATTTGTCATCAGTGAAGGCATGAAAAATGCACTCAAATTCACTCATTTAACTCCGCTATAGGAATTTGTAATATTTTATTATAATTTGGTATTCTCTTAGGAGATTTAACGAAAACGTGCATTTCATACAATAAATATTAAAAATTAGTAATATTAAGTCCATTTTAACATTAATAAGAGAAGGAAAAAACCAAGACTGCTTAACGAATTTTAAAACACAATGGGTATTTTTCCTCTGCATGAATTTATCAAAAAAAATCCAATCAAAATCAGTTAATTATGTTTTATCTTATTTTATTTTTATCAATATCACGCAGAAAAATTATTTAAATATTGATAATTAAATCGAAATACCATTATTAATGCATTTTTAAATAAATATAGTGCACCAATGAAAATTCGCTTGAGAATCATCGAATATTCATTGGTTATAAGAACTCATTTAAATGACGAACTATTTTTCCAAATACGAACCCATGCATGCCAAGACACGCTAATGTTAAAATCATACATGTTTCCCCTAAATATGAATCAGTTCATTATCAGTTCAACCCATGCATTTACTACTTTTTTGCACGTCTTTTTTTGCTGGGATGTATTGATAGAACTTTTAGAACTACATACTATAATTGTATATACATAAGTTCTACGGGACGCAAATAGTTCTTTCGTTATGTTTTGATATTGAGATACGAGATACTGTAAGACAAAGTTGGTTTGATAAAAGACTCTGTTTTCTAATGGATGAATAAATTACCTATTTAGACTTCCTGTAATATAGACGTTAAATCGGTACTGAAAAGCAATTTTATATTGCAAAATACTTTAAAAGGTTTCAAAATTATTCTGAATTCTTTTAGTTTTTTAATAATTGGGTATTTAATAAAATTTCTGTTAATGAAAGAAATATTTTTCAATTTCCAGTAATTAAAAAGTACGATATATGAGACCCTTACTAAAGTTCGATAGAACTTGAATTTGTAATAAATAACAGAAAAATGAAAATTAAATTACATTTGAAATTGATTTCGGACATACACCGAAGTGCATTATGGATCAGCATAAACTACTGAATTCTCCTGGCCTTACAGGAAATAATCGAGACGTGTCAAATTGCACGACTTTGTAGGCCATTTCCACTTCTGGAAATGAAGTGATTGATACATTTTGATTTAAATAAATCGACGGTTGCGGTCGCCGTATGAAACTATACTATTAAAACCACAACTCGTCAAATCGCACGACTTTGGAGGCCAATTCTATTTCTCGAAATAAAGTGATTGATAAATTTTGATTTCAATAAATCGACGGTTGCAGTCGCCGTATGAAACTATTCCATTGAAACCACATCTTGCCCGGATTAGTCCGTATGAAACTATTCTATTGAAACCACACCACGCCGGATCAGTCTCATTGTTTATTAACAAACCCGTTTATCCAGAAATTAGGCTCATAAATGAACACAAATTTGCGATAAAACATCGTTGACTGATTTTCAAAGTAAATTTTAGTAATTTGGTATTATTCATGAGTATTTGTCAGAGTATACTGATGAAATAAACTGATGAATCTACCGAGCTTAAAAAACTCCCATTACTATAAAGTATAGGAGCTAGAACTGAACTCTCCAATTATCTTTAGCTTATTATTGCTTAAGTTCATTTTGTCTTTAAGATCTAACAAATTTTAAACTATTGATATTTCAGGAAAACTTTTTCTCCATCCTAGATTTGCTAAATTACTCAATATTTAAGGATTTCTTTCTTTTTACTTTAAATACGATATTAGCAAGTTATTTTTGCTACTGCAGTAAAATAACGGAAACTAATTTTATTAAATATAAAGGACCATTAGAGGGAGAAAAGTAAAATAAGCACACATATGATATTATATATAACTAAAGATATGGACTAATATTAAATTAGATGAAAAGCACTAGATAAAAGAAATTAAATTAAATAATAAAAGCATAACATAAAGAGATACTAAGATAGTTTGAAAAATATATTCTAATAAAAAATGGATAATATTAAAAAAACTAAAAAAACTACATTATTAATAGTTAATTTTATTACAAACATGATATTTTACAGCTAACATAAACTTTTTATTTATCTAAGTAATTATTAATAGAAAGAACATAAATATTCGTTATTAATTAAAAATACTAGTAAAAAAATGTTAAACAATTACCTCAGTAGAAGTTTAAAAACAAACAAAATACTAAAACAAGTAAGAAATTATAGTCGGGCGTGGCCGACCATATGATACCCTACACCAGTTATGAATATTAAATGTGATTTATTTTTCATAATAAAGCATTTATCTTCAATATTCCCTTGTTCCGATACATTTAAGCAATTTATGGATGAAAAACTAATTTTCTGAAAGAGGCTTTATATGGGGGCTAGGGGCAAATATGGACCAAGCCCGATAAAATTTTGTGAATATATTTATATTTACATAATATTTTATTGTGCTGAATTTCATCGCGATATTTGTGTTTATAAGCTAATTTGGGACATTCAAGTAATTTTCTGAAGGGGACTTTGTATGGGAGCTAGGGTCAAATGTGGCCCGATCTTTATGAAATTTGGCAGGGTCATCAAGACTTCTATAAAACTTAGTTGTGCCATATTTTATCGATATATCTGTATATTTAACATAATTATGAGCTCAGAAGCCCTTTTCGGGGGGTTCTGTTGTATGGGGGCTAGGTGAAATAATGGACCGATTTTAACCATTTTCAATAGGCTTCGTCCTTAGGTCAAATAAAACGTGAGTGCCAAATTTCATCCAATTATCTTGAAAATTGCGACCTGTACCTTGCGCACAAGGTTTACATGGACAGCCAGCCAGCCAGCCAGCCAGCCGGCCAGACGGACGCACGGACATAGCTTAATCGACTCAGAAAACGATTCTAAGCCGATTGGTATACTTTAAGGTGGGTCTAGGACGAATATTTTTGTATGTTACAAACATCAGCACAAATCCAATATACCCTCCCCACTAAAGTGGTGTAGGGTATAACTATCAAAACAAATCTATAGATAAATGGTGTTTATTAGAAGTGGTATTGGGTTTTGTTTTAACAAAGAGGGTGTTTAAAAGGACATTAAAGGACTGTTAATGCATTTAAACCTATTTAATGATATGACACATAATATACAACAAAAAAACATAACGACATCCATCAAACTCATCATTTTAAGAAGCATTTTCATTATGCTGTTAATACATTTACACACACACACATACATACATACGTAAATACTGGTGTAAATGCTATTGTGTGTATCCTAACTGTATGGGGTTGTCTTATGGAACCGCCTATAAGCAACAAGTTGCTGCTTCGTTTTTTATCGTAGTTTTTACGAACATTTTTCCTTTAGCCAATAGAATGTCTGTTTGATTTCCTTTGAAGGCTGCTGTTGCCTAAATTTGAATAAAAGCTGAAGTCCTTTCGTCTAAATCATCAGTCAAGTTTACGAACTCAACAAGTGAGCAACTCAACTAGTATTCAACCAACTAAGTAATAATTCTTAGTAAATTCTTTTTAATAAACAAATACCACTACAACTTCAATTAATCTATTAAAAATGTAAGTTTTTAATTGGAAAAAAGTGTTTAAAGTGTATAACAAGGTGTTCTTTAATTATCTGCAAAACTTCTTTAAAAGCCATCTTAAAAATTGCTTTAATGTATAACAGTTTATAACAGATTTTGTGTAAAGTTTAAAATATTTTTTTTTTTTTTTTTTTTTTTTTTGTTTAAATGAAAGTTTCATTCACAGAATTATTTTTTGTTAAAAAAAATATGCATTTTGAACTTTTGAAAAAAAAAATATTTCAAAAAATTTATAGAAAAAAGACTTTAAAATAATTTTTTCTATTTGCAAAAATTTGTTTTGAAAACTAAAAAATTTAAAATTTTTTTAATAAAAGACTATTCTTTAAATCGGTGATTATTTAAAAGAAATGTGTATATAAAAAGATTTATAAAAAATATACTTTTAATTCAAAAATCAAATCATACACAAAATGTAATTTTACACAGAAATTTTTATTAAATTATTTTTATAAATTTGTTTAACAAAAAAGTGATTTTATACACAAATAATTAAAATTTACTTCAAACATTTTATTTTGTTCAAAATATATTTTTTAACAAAAATAATGTTTTTTACGAAAATTACATTTTAACAAAAAATGTAATTTTACACAAGAAACTGAATTATAAAAAATAAAATACATAGAAAACTGAATTTTACACTAAAAAATACATTTTCAAAAAAATCACATTGTACATCAAAATTAAATTTTACATTTTACACAAAATGAAATTCTTTCACTAAATACAAATTTTTACATAAAGTGTAATTTTACACAAAGTATAATGTTTTACATAACATGTAATTTTTGATACAATGTAATTTTTTACACAAAATATAAGTTTTGTGAAATTTTTTACAAAAAATGTTATCTTTTACACCAAGTGTAATTTTACATAAAGTGCAATATTTTATACAAAAATGTAATTTTTTACACAAAATGTAATTTTTTAAACAAAATGTAATTTTTCACACAAAATGTAATTTTTTAAACAAAATGTAATTTTTCACACAAAATGTAATTTTTTACCAAAAACGTATTCTTTTAGATAAAGTATATGTTTTACATAAAACATAATTTTTTACACAAAAATATATTTTTTTACACAAAATTTAATATTTTACACAGTGTAATTTTTACATAAAGTGTAATGTTTTAAAAATTTTTACACATAATGTAATTTTTTACACAAAATTTAATCTTCTTTAACTTTTTACATAATCTGTAATATTTTACATAGAATCAAATTTTTTACCAAAAACATATTCTTTTGCATAAAGTGTAATGTTTTACATAAAATATATTTTTTTTTGTAATTTACATTTTTCTATTCTTTACATAAAGAGTAAAATCACCTTGATGTTTTAAAAAATAAACCGATTTCAAACAAAAATGTCAAATAATCCCATAACGTATACGCAACAAAACATTTTTTTGTTGATCATACGTACTAGGTTAGTTATTGGGAAAATTGATTCATAATTTGCAAATATTTTCCTTCTAAAAATGTTGTCTAACAAAAATTCCAAAGTTTTGTACATTAATTAAACGATTACACTTTAATTAGCATAATTCTGTAACTAACGTCATTGTTTTGACATTATGAACTTGTGTGAGAAATAAGCTTTTTTGAGGCAACCACATCACGTTGTCCAAAGTAGGAATTTATACATGATTCCATTACATACTGCACTAAATGCAAACTTAGACAACAACTACAACTACATAGTTACAGTCGACTAAAGTTTAACACATATTTTGCTGTTATAAAATTAACTATAAATTGAATTTAAAGATACAATTTCTATTAATAATTTAATACTCTAACCTTAGGAGTACTTTTACCATATGAAAGCATATTTATGCATATTACATACAAACCTACATTCTTCTTAAACTAAAAGAGTAAACATGTTAAATTATAACAATATGTCTTCATTTCCACATATGCGTATCCTGTGTAGTTGTTTATACCTACCTGTATATTAAAACTAAACACATCCTGTTGATGTTTCTATAAAACATTTCATTGTCATTGGGTTGCTGTGCTCAAGACAATCCATCCACTTGTTACTTTACGTCAATCAATGCTAATATCCTGTGTCTAATATTTAGTCCTTTTTATCATGTTTAAAATACATAATGGATAAAAATTGTCAACATGTTTCAATGCAATTTACACTCCTTAAGACTTAATGCCTCTAAAGTCAATTTTCTTGGGCTTTTCATATACACAACAAATTGGCTGCTTAGGAAAGTACCATGATACAGATTAATGTTTATACTGTTTTAAATTGTTTGTTGTTGCTTTTGTTGTGTGTAGAGAGGCGGAGTTAAGAAAAATCAGCACAAAGTTACAAAAGTAATTTTGTAAATTAGAAATGCCGAAAGGTGTAATTATACATAAACATAAAATACCTTCTACACTTTACTGTAAATGGTATTTACTTTACAATTCTTTATAATAATGGGATTTAGCATTTGTTGTGGCATATATTCGTATGAAAAATTATTATTATAATCAGGCGAATAAATTCATTGCTTCTACTTGTAACACACTTAAATGTAGACATTCAAGGTTTGGAATATTAAATATGTTGTAGTTTATTGAACGAAATAGTTTCACTTTCCATAGTATTTCTTAATTTACTTTATAATTAATATTAATCATAGAATATGTTTAAAAATTGGCAAAAAAAAAACATTTTATTTATTGTTGGTCTTTACAGAAAAATTTCTAATAAACTTTTTATTATAACTTATAGTAAATTAACAGTTAAATCAAACTGTTATTATAGGATTAATACAAATCTGGGAACATGTCGAACTATGCTCTGCATTCTTAATTAACATTAAGTACGGCAATTTATAGTCCTTCGGTTAACAGATGGCTAGAATTAATACAAATCTGGCATAATGTCAAAATAGGCTTTTCTTTCTTAATTAGCACTAAATAAGACTATTTATGTTCCTGGGTTACAAAACTATTTTTGTATGAACATCGCTTTCACCTTTATAAAAACGTATTTAGCTTCAAAAAGAGATTTTAATTTTGTTAATCCTTTATAGAAATTTATGTGGCTATAAATTCATTACTTATTTTAAATTGGTCCTTCGGCTTTGGTAACACACCGTCAACTTTAGCTCTAAGCAGTTTTTATTTCAAGAATCTTCGTCCTGTGAGATTTTCAGCAAATTTTGTATTCTTTACTTTGCAGTTCCTCTGCTTTTTGTAGCAGAATGACAGAATTAAATCTGTAAATAGTTTCATTACTTCCACTTTGTGGTCCCACGAGACTTTTTATCACATTTTAAATTAATAAATTTCCAAAAAACACATTTCTGTATAAACATTGTGCTTTTCTTTATAAGAAGTTATATATCCATCTATACATTATTCACTTTTAATGGTCCTTCGACTTCTGTTTCACAACGCCACTTTATCTCTAAACGGTTTTTTCAATAACTTAAAAATCACCAAACCTATTACGATTCATCTGTACTTCATTATATTCATATAACTTTTTATTTATATTAAGTTATATTCATATAACTTTTTTATTTAAACGGTTTTTATTTCAACTTTATGGTCCTTCGAGACTTTATTCATTGTTTCAATTTTTGTATAGACAAATTTCAAACCAGATATATATTTCTAGAGAACTCAGATAAATATTTTCTATTTGAGTATTGTACTCTTCTTTATAAAAGTCTCAAATTCTTCATTCACATTAATGGTCCTTTGGTTTTAATATCAAAACGTTAACTTTATATATAACTAGTAACTTAAATTTTATATTTTATAATATTTTGATCCAGTTTTCTTTATTGCAAGACTTTTTATCATATTTGGTCTTTCTTTTATAATGATTAAATTCTAATCTCTTTTAATCAAGTTTGAAGCGTTAACTTATAAATTTTTTTTAGAAACAAAGGATATCTTTGAGATATGAGCAAAATCCTTAAAACCCCATAACTTTTTTAAACATCTTGAACATCCAGTTCTTGTCTTATGTATGTGTGAACATACATATATCAAATGAAAGGTTTTTCGAATACCTTTCTTCATAGAAAGGTCTTTCGAATACCTTTCTTTATTAAACATATTTCATTTAAATTTCTTTAAACAATTTGCCTTTGCATTTAAATTTCTTTAAACAATTTGCCTTAGAGCCGAAGGACCTTTCATGGTCCTTCGGCTCTAGCATCTCTTATAAAAGTCTTGAATTCTTAATACCCTTTTATGATCCTTTGGTTTCAATATCCGAACGTTAACTTTATTTCTAAACAATTCTTATTTTCAATTAATTTTAATTCCAAATTATTTATTGGTTTACATGGTCCTCCGGTTCTAGTATTCATTCTTATGGTCCTTCAGTAAACTTTTTTGGAATACTTTCCACCTCATTTTTGACCTTCATTTTATAAAGATTATTTGCAAACAACTTGCAAAAAACAATTGCTGTTTGCATCCGATGTTCATGGTCCTTCGGTTCTACTATTAAACATTATTTTTCGAATACAATATAATGCATTCTAAGGATCCTCTTTCTCAAGCTCTACTAACTCCAAATGTTACATTTTTTCTTCATTTACTTAATATTGTTTTAGAGTGCAACCATGTTTTCCATATTTATGTACAAAAAACCCGAATACATAGAAACGGTTGCAAATCCTGATTTCCTTTTAAAGATTTTCCCCTCAAATAATTCCATGAAATCACTAACAAACATTGCATCAAACATGCTTTTAATGTCAAGTAAACTATACTGTTGTTTGTGAAATCAGTTATTTTTTCCACATTTTTCTTTTAAATCGTATATCATATTACTTTGTTTTGGTGTTTCCTTATTACAGCTGCAAAAGGAAACACGTATAATTTTTCATTTGTTATCATTTCCCCATGGTGTTGGTGAAAATGAAAAATGATAAAAAACAATGCATTTTGATATCCTTGCGAACTTATAAAATGATGAAAAATTTGCATACAATGCAAATTCTATTAATTTAGTTATAGTTAGCACACAGCAATAAAATATGTAATTTTAATTTATTTTAATCAGGATGTCTAACCAAATTGTATCCGCTGTTGTCTGTGGTCTTGTCTTCTTTGCCGCCTTATCATCATGCTATGGTGCTACAATGGCTCCCTTGTGTCAACCTGGCATCTTGGAAGAAATGCCAACACATATTAAGAAAGTATGCATGGCTTTAGAAAATTCGGATCAATTGTCTACAGCTTTAAAATCGTACATTAACAATGAGGCAGCCAGTAAGTAAATGTATTAATTTCAAAACCATTTTAATTCAAAATAATATTTTTCCTTTAGCTTTGGTTTCCAAACAAGACGAACTCATTAACAACTATGGCAAGCGTACCGATGTCGATCACGTTTTCTTGCGTTTCGGCAAAAGACGTTAAATTATTCTTCAACAATACTAACTGCGCTGACAACAGATCCCCAAACCCCCCTCAAAACAACACCACTGGCTAACGGAAACATAATTGCAGACTTGGATCAAACAAATTTGCTCATGAAAAATAAAATTTAAAAAAAAATAGTAACTTGCATAAATACTTAAATTGATCTCTTTGTAATATTACAATAACACCACCCTTTAACAACTTTTACACGTTTAAAAACCACACAATACCAAAAAAAAAAAAAAACTTAGCCGTAGAAAATTGTTTGATTGTAATCATTGTAGTATTGTATATTGTCATAAAACAAATTATGTACATAAATAAATTATTGTAAAAAAAATAATTAAAATCATTTCATTATTACAAAAAATCAACAATTAATTACTTATATAGTACATACAAGTCTTTATGTACAATGTTTAATCCATATATGTGTCATAATATAGAAGCAACAAATTTCATATACCAACTAAAATTATGTATACAATATGGGGCAGAGCGGTACATACATACTTTTTCTATTCATATTTATTAAATTAATTTAAATGTAATATTTATTATAATTTATTTTTAATTTTTAAGTAATAAAAATTAATTGAAATAAAATTAATATGTGTGTATTTTAGTTATAAATTTGACGAAGAATTAATAAATTATTTTAAATGAAAAATTTAAATGACTCCTTTTCGAATTAACTTATTTATATGATTTGAAATACTAAATACTTGGTTAAAAATTGAAATTGATTACCGAATAAGTATCGTCATCGATTATCATTTAACATGAAATTGCAATTTAAAAGGAATATTTTTACTTCAGATGGAAAATAATCCGGCAAAATTTACATTATTTCCACAACTAGTTCTAGGTAGAATGGGTTATTTTAGGCTGTTCTCATTTTAGTTGAGACCAATAATTTTTGTTCTAAATTGCCACCTTCGAAACTGGTTCTAAGGAAGCATTATGGAGTCGATACTCGTTCTTTGGAATATTAGCGTTTATAAGTGTGATATTAGCTTTTATAAGTGAATTATGAGTGATTTTCTGAAGGGGACTTTGTATAGGGGCTAGGGTCAAATAAATCCCGATCATTACGAAAATTGGCAGTACCATTTGAACTTGCATAAAATTAAGTTTTGGCGATTTTTGAAAAGATAAAATCTTTCTAGGGTGAATAACTACTTATTTTTGTTCGACGATGACCAAAAAATTACTGTTTACAAATGCGCTTATCCGGCAATTCAGGGTTTAAAACCGGCCTTACCATTATTTCCCATGTTTATTAGTCCATTCCCTTACTCAATGCTCTATTAACATTATTATTTTATCATGCTATCTAGATATACATAATATAGGAGTGACAAGAACTTTTGCAAATTACGGCAATTTTTGGTCAACGAAACCGAAACAAAACAAAACGAATCGACTTGCTGGTTTTTTTACGAGTTATTTTTGATGAATTATGCGTCCTGGATGAAGGATATAAACTTAACTCTTGTCGTCGTGGTATAATGGAGTCCAAATTTCGACCGTGCACCACCCAGAAGTCTTGGGGGTCACATTTGATAGCCTCTTTATTTCCTCAGCTCATGTCACTGCAATCACGCACAAAGTAGAAACAAGGTCCTCAAAGTGCTAGCACTTGGGGTATGGATAAAGTAACCTTGTTTGCTACATATAGAACGATTCGTCATTCAGTAGTTAATTATGCTGCTCCAGTGTGGTCACCTTTACTCAGTGATACCCAGAGGAGAAACATTCAAAGGAGTGTAACGGGCTACCTATAAATTACCTCGGAACATTATCTGCACAAGAAAACGAAGGTCCCGGTTAAGGAAAACAATGTCATGTTGCCTAAACAGTTCCTTCTGGGATGTAATCGGAGAAGTCATTCCAACGTTAACATCACACAGTTGGATACTCTCCCGAGGCATGGCAGGAAGGATCTTCGTATATACGAGGAGAAAATACGCAAATATGTGCAGGATCCATTAGATCAGTCCTCGTATAAAGCAGCTTTGAATGACATTCATTGAGACGCCATCAATTTCGCGGTCGCAGGATACCGCATGAATGTCGTACTTGGAAGAAAACCTGCCGCGGAAAACAATAATAGTTCTAGCACAACTAAGAGATGTAACCGGACGAGTCATTCCAACGTTAACATCACACAGTGGATACTCCCCCGAGAAAGGATCTTCCTATATAAGAGGAGATAATACGCAAATATGTGCAGGATCCATTAGATCAGTCCTCGTATACAGCAGCTTTGAATGACATTCATTGAGACGGCATCAATTTCGCGGTGGCAGGATACCACATGAATGTCGTACTTGGAAGAAAACCTGCCGCGGAAAACAATAATAGTTTTAGCACAACTAAAATCGGGATTGTGCCACATGCTTAATGCCTACTGGTCACGCATAGAGCGTGCCGTCCCCAACGAATGTCCTGCATGTGGTCCGCATTGTTTCTGTTGAAATACCAATTTTCGATCGTAGAGTAACTGCAGAATAGACACAATCGTAAATCATTGAAACGAAATCGAATTGGTTTCAATGGGGTTGGTCTTTGGGTTAAACATTTGTTGGCCTGTTATGGCCATGGCTCACAAAGTTAATCACCCCTATTCTGCAGAATACGTTACGATCGAAAAAAAAAGTATTTCAACAAAAAAACTGAATCGTAAGAAAAAGAAAAAGCAATTCAATTTCGTTTGTGTGTATTCTGCAATACGATGGTAACTACGTTTCTGTAATTTGTGTTTTAGTGACGGAGCGTCTAATCGAAATGCAGAATATCAAAATGGCTAAACGTACAAAATTTCAAATAACGTACAATTATTATTCAAATAATTTATGTATTGAAATGTGTTTTAGATACGAAAACTTATTCGATCACGTAAGCGGTTATTCGGCCTCTGACATTCCATTAAATATTACATTTTTTCTCAACACCATTTTTCCTTTGGTGAATGCTTAGGAAGAAGTTATGCCTTTAAGACTCGGTACCTTAAATAAAGCGATCCTACACTATGTAAATAAGAGATGAGAAATAAATACAATGAAAATAATTTTTTTAATAAGTAGCGATGTTTATATTTATATAAAAATGTATATTAGTACAATGAAATGAGTTTAATGTATATTAAAAATGATATAACAAATCCAAAAAAGTTCTGGAAACTCTTCTTAAGATTAAAAATAAAACCAAAAAGTATGATAAAAAGGTGTAATATGTATTTTTAAATTTTTATCTGAAAAATAAGTTTATAATGATAGTTAAGATATTTTATATGAATTACAAGGACTTACCCATTTCTTATTATTAAATTAGGAATATTATTTCCAGCTATTGGCACTTGTTTAAAGACTCAAATTATGTAAAAATAATATTTACACGCAAAATAAAAATACTTTGATTTGTTTGATGTTTGTGAAGAAAAAAAAACTTTATTTAAAAGAGCAGAGTTTGCCATATGATGGATAGCAGTTTCATTTATTGATTTATTTCATTTTAAAAGAAATAAAAATATTAACAAAGTAAAAGAAACAAAAAATTATATAAATAAATGAAAATATAAACTTAAAAGCAACAAATATATAAAAAGAAAAAATAATAATTTTGTTCTTTTTTTTCTTTTAATTTTCTATTATTTATTATTCAAAGTTTTGGTTATTTTAAAGTTTTTTTTTTGTGGAAGTATATATAAAATAAGTTTTCAATAACTTTTGAAAATTGTAATTGCTTGGACCTTTTTCTTTAGCGGTTTTAGGGTTTGTAAAATATTTATTTTAAAAAATGTTTTTTTAGTTGATTTCGTTTAAAAGAAATTTTTGCTTTAAATCCCAATATAATTTTTAATAGTTTCCTTTTTTGTTATTCTTGTGTTTAAATTTAAGTGTTTTACTATTTTAAGAAATCTTTACTGTAAAGATTTATTTTGTGTTTATTAAAATGCAACTTAAAAGTTTATAATTTTTGTTTAATTAAAATTTATCGCTTTGATAAGAAATTTTCTTTATATTTCAAATTTAATTTAATTTTTAATGAATTTTCTTAGAAAATAATATAAGAAAAATAACCAATATGGTTTTTAAATTGATAATTATTTATAAAAATATTTATAATTTAATTGTTAACCAATTAATGGTTAAAATTTTTTGTAATTTAGTTTTCTTTTCTTTATTGTTCCGTTTATTTTTCTAAATATTGTTTAATAGTGAAATTTTTTTTAAACTTTAACACGCCCTTGTAAAAAAATAATATGCGTTTTTCTTGTTTATGTTAAAAATATTTAAATTTAGTTTTCTTTTAAATTGTTTATTTTAAGATTTTTTCATTATCACTTATCTTGTTTGTTAATTATTTGCTTTTAAATTTCCTTTAGGGGTTTTGTTGTTTTTGTATGAATTCTTTTTTTTTATAATTTAAATCATAATTTTTTTAATAAAATTAAAATATACAAAATAATAATTTAATTAAATGTAATAAAAAAACAAATATGTAAAAACAAAATTATATTAATCTACTTAATTAGTTGTTGTTTTTTTTTTTCATTCAACAAGAGGTTGCAACAATTGTTTAAACTTTGTTTTTTGTAAATTTTTGATATGGTAGTAGATATAAATAATCTATAACTGAGTTTGAATCAATCAAACCTATTCTTTACGTTTGCGCATTCAGTTACGTTACGTAATCGAAAGAAAAATAAGATGAAATTTCATTTGATTTCAATGCTTTAGTAATAGTATAACTGCCAAGCGGAGAAAATTTCGATTAGAATTGAAATGCAGAATAGAAGTGAATATTAGAATTAGGATTAGTTTAAAAACAAGAATTCGAAAATGGTGAAATGCTAATAAATCACTACTAATAAATTAGTTTTGAGGTCGATTACTTACATTTTCAAATTTCAAATTTATAAATTTTGGAAAATAATTAAAATCTTATGAATTTTAAAGTATTTTCAATATAGTTTTAGAATAAAAACATTCATGTTCGAAAATTTAAATTCAAAAATTTTTACTTATTTTTGAAGATTTTTAAAAACTCTTCAGATCATGATATATTTTAGTTTTATTTGAGTTCAATTTCGTAAATTTTTCATTTCAAACGAAATATAAGCATTTTGAGACATGTTCGAAAATTCGAACTTATGTTCGAACATTTTTTAAAACTCTCCCAATCATGAGGAGTTACAAAGATATAATTTAAATCTTATTTCAGTTCAATTTCGTAAAATTTTCCCATTTTCGAACTTAAAAATTTTGAAAAATATTGTGGCAAATTTGTTTGTTATTCTACAGATAATTAAGATAAAGCCCTAAAGACAAGTGACAA